CTACTGGAGGTGGTATTAGCAGGGCCCAGTGACTAGAAGGACACATGGCACAGGGAGCAGTGAGGAACCAAGGATGACTCATCAGTTCCTATACGAGGAAACAAGTGGAGGGTGATGGCACTAACCAGTATAATAAAAACGGGAGAGCAGATCTAGGGAGATGGCTACTGAGAGGCAGTCATACTTTTCAGAATTTTTTTTTTTAAATAATTTTAATGAGCATTTACAGAGATTTTGGATTTCCATTCATTCATTGCTGCACTTCTCTCCCCGCCCATCCCTCCCTCCCTCCCACCCCCAGTTCGTTCCTCTCTTTCAAAAGTAAAAGAAACACTCCTTCCCTGGTACACAATCCCCCCCGCACCCCTCCCACCACCCCAGAATTCTTTTGAGAACATTTTAGTCTTCAGTTCCAGACTATGGATAAAAAGAAATAGAACATTGACTAAGTTGGCATATAAGTGCAGACTGTGCTGATGGCCAAGACTGAAACAGAGTTTCTGTCTCAGCTAAGGAATTAAAATTGACAATATTTTAAGTTACCATGGCAAGAACAGTTTTTTTTCTTTGTATTCAGGAAGCTTTATTGAAATTTTATTAAAATGAAAAGTACTTTAACAGTTTATAAAGGTGCTTTTGAGGACTCTTTACAGTCCTAAAACAATTTTGTGATTTGGAAACTAAACTGCAGTACATATTATGATTATCTAGAATTTGATTTTCTTTTTAAATGAAACTGCTTGGTTCATTTAAAAATGATGTTTTCCCATCAAGCAATAATTACAGCTGTACTAGCTGTCCTGTTAAATTCCCATTGTGCTGTGATAGGAAATATAACTTGTAAAGGGACTTTTTTTTTCTTTCAAGTTTTTAAAGAAACAAAAACTTGGAGTACTGGTAGTATTACAGTAAATAAAAGTCATTATGTTTGGGGTATGCTCTGCTTCAAGATGTGTATTGCGAGTCTACCTTTGCCTTGGTGATACCTTCCCCACATGGTGTCTTATCTTTTCACGCAACTTCATGTCTCTTCTCATGCAACTTAATGATTTTCACACAACTTAATGATTCTTCCCTGAACCTTCCATCCTTAACATCCTTCAAAAATGTTTTATATGCAAATCTTTTTTACTTCTCCTTTTTAACTAGTGAGCCCATAACATACTTGCTTCTCTGTGTTTCACTTAGTTTGCCCTGCATAACATTGTGGACTTGTTTTAATTAACTTCAACTTGAATTGGCATATTAGTAATTGATAGTCAGTTGTGCATTGGACCTGGCCTGTGACTAATGACACTGAGCTTCTGTATTGTTTCTTTCCATGATACAGTCATGTGTAAGGTTTATGTATACAGTCAGTCACTTTTCATGTTGTGGGGAAAAGTATTTCAGGTAAAATAGGATGTTGATCTTACAAAAATTTGTTATTTCCAGCATTGTATTTCTCATTGGAGACATATTTTCCAATTCTCAGTCCGTCTTTGTTTCCAACTTTTACATTTTATTCACCAGTAATTTGTAATGTATCTTGACTGTATGTTTGATCAGTCTCATGCTACAGAAATAGGTCTATATCCTTTATCTTTGGCATTGGTTATTGGTATAAATTTGAATAATGTATTAACTGGTCTTTCTTGTAGGTATATTGATATCCTATCACTGATAACTCTATACTTCAGTATAGAGCTTTAAACAAGTAAAATGTTCTTTTCAATAATAAACACAATATTGTTGCATTACTTGTCTCTCAGTTTGTTATACTGTGGTGGCTTATATGTTGCTGTGTTGCTGAACTTTGACACTAATATTTCAAGCACCAACAAACTATCATAGTGTACAGAATATAACTAGACTAAAAAACATCCAGCAGTCTATTTCTGGTGAGGAAAAACACTAACCCATTCAAAGCCTTATGGATAGCAGGAGACGGCTGTCTGATAGTGTTGGAAATAAACCCCTCATGAGAGAACACATATAAGTAAGCACAGTGTAAGGAGCCCTGTGTGGTGGAGTAAGACAGGGTTCCGATCCTTGTTCATTAGGTCATTGTCAGTCATATTCAGCTTGATGGCATAAAAAAACATGTCACGGGGGGCGGGGTCGCAGCATGCGGCGGAGGCGGGCAGCGGGCGGCTCGGAGCCCCGGCCCAGGAACAATGTGATAAAGAAAACAGCGAGAAAGAGAAAAGTCACACCACAAAAAGCTGCTTTACACATGGAGAGATGCATGAAGAGTCCATTTGGGGGAATCGTCCGGAGAGTGGACTCGTCAGAAAAAGGGTGAACTAGAAGACCCGGGGAGTGCCG